TCAGGGCCTCAGTGTCAGCCAGAGGTGAGATATTGGGGTCCTCTCAGTTTTTGCCTGTGTATGTCCTCAGTTCTGTCCATGTTTGTGGGCTTCTCTATCCCCAGGGATATTTCAGGCCTTTTCAAAGTCCCCTATGGATATCTCATCCCCCAGATTGTCCTTTTAAGTTTTTGGCCTGGCTCTTGTTTGCTCCAACTGCTGTAGTAGTCTCAGGTAGCTGAAATGTTAAACAATTGATGCTGATTGTTTTTCATGAATCCTTTGGGGATAGGAATTTTACCACAGAATAATTAGTTTAAATAACTACAACATCTTGTGAATAAAATTTTTCCAAGGAGCTATAAGACAGGTCAAATAGTGACAATGCTCTGGGGATGGGGCTTTTTGAGGAACTCCAAACCCAGTATGCCCTTTTGGTGACTGCACAGCTGCTGGTTTTCACACCTACAGTAATTACAAGGCTGTTAGTTTTCAAGACTCCTGCAGAGCTAGGGAAAGTAGGATGAGATAGGCCAAGTTAAAATACCACAATCCCTGCTGTTCTTAACTAAGTTTATCAATTTTGCTGAATAAATGTTTTTCAGATTATTGCAAGCCATTGTTGCTAGACCAGTAATTCTGAAAATGTTGATTTTGATCATTTTTGGCAGCATTTTTGTTACTTTTATGAAGGAGTAAACTTAGAGAGATCCTCACTCTGCTATTCCAGAAGTACCACCCAGATTATTTCTTCAACAGTTGAACAAGTAGAGTCACATAGAGAACATAACACAATTTTTTACAACCAATAATATGCAGATCTAGGATTTGAGACTGGATGTTCTGGTTCCAGAATCATATACTTAACTACTACCCTATATTTCCCTTTTTAAATAATAATTGAATTCACTTTATATTGACTGCAGATTATACAGCAATTATTATGTTATGAATGTATTTCTCAAAACAACCCTATGTGTTATTATTCCCATTTTATATATGGAAAACTGATTAGAGATTTCTTATGTCCAAAAGCCAGGATTCAATACTTGGATTTGTCTGACTTCAATGCAAATTATGTCACAAAGTTTTATTGTATCAAAGAATGATCATTATCTTAACACATCCCAATACGACCTCTGATTGAAATTATAAAAATAATATAGTAAGAATATATCAACAAAGAGATTAGAAGATAAAGTTGAGGAAATTGGATAGAAAGTTGCAAAAAACAAAAATGTGGAAAATGAGAGGAAAAAAACTAGAAAAGTTAGAACTATGATATAGAAGATTTGATATAGAAATAACAGGAATTCCAGTAATAGAACAGAGAAAATAAAGTTTTAAATAGACTATGCACTGCACAAGATGAATGAAAAATAACACACTAAAGCACAACTGCTTGAAATTTCAGAAGCTTTATGAAGAAAGGGAATACTCTATGATATTCCAGAAAGACAATAGGTTATATTCAAAGGATCAATAAACAAAATTACGCAGACTTCTTAATAGCTAGAAGCCAATAGAGTAATGATTCTAAATCTGAAATAAAATTGTTTTTGATCTATGATTCTATACCCAGCCAAATTATCTGTCAAGTGTCATGATGGAATAATGTTATTTTGAGATATGCAGAAACTCAAATTTAACCTCCCATCAATACTTCTTCTCCATTTAAAAATGGGATGCATGAAAATAAGGAAGTAAACCAAGAGAAAGGATGATATAAGGTGCAATCAAGTAAGTGTGAAGGGAATTTTTGTTCACTTAACTGATATAAATCTATGGCTTATTTCATCACACTTTGTAAGACTCTTTATGGAAAAAAAATCTCTCCTACATTTTTTGCATCTAACTCATTGTCTAGTACATTGCTTTGTACATCCTAATGTTCAACAAACACTATTAATTGGCTTATATATCTTAAAGAAGGAAGAAGAGCCGTGGTTGATATGGATCTTTGAACATCAGTTTGCAGGATACATAGTTTTACAAACAGAAGTGCTGTGAGAGTAACAGCGTGGTATTTGGAGTCAGGCACGCTTGATATACATCTTTGTCCTGCCACTATCTGTGTAACTTCAGCAGATTTACTGTATATAAAATGTATTGTAAGAATTGAGTGAGAGAGAAGAAAATTCATAGTTCCGATTCTGACACTAACACAGCTATTTAAAACAGAGGCTGACACTTACGTAGACAGTCAGTTATGTAAAAAACAGAGGTTTAGGAAATAAAGTAAATGGGTTAGTATGAAAAACAATTAACTGTTGTACTTATATATCCATGTTTCTGCAAACAAAAAAGATGTTATTTTCTGAGGTGGTGTTTGAAAAAAACAGGCGCATACACATTTAAACTGATTCACCAAACAATTCGTATGGATGCCATCTTTTCTCAGGTTGTTTATTAGTTCGATATATTGGAAAATTAGTCAAATATTTCCAAATTCATCACATACAATAATTAGAAATAAATGCAATGAGCATGAAAAACTAAGTAAGTAAACCCACCAGCTGGGAGAAAATATTTACTAAACGTATATCTGATAAGGGGTTAATCTCCATAATATATAAAGAACTCACACAACTGAACAACAAAAAAACAAACAACACGATCAAAAAATGGGCAGAGGAAATGAACAGACACTTCTCCAAAGAAGATACACAGATGGCCAATAGGCATATGAAAAGGTGTACAACATCACTAATCTTCAGGGAAATGCAAATCAAAACAACACTAAGATATCACCTCATGCCCATTAGAATGGCTATAATCACCAAGACAAAAAACAATAAATGTTGGAGAGGATGTGGAGAAACGGGAACACTCATACACAGCTGGTGGGAATGCAAACTGGTGCAGCCTCTATGAAAAATGGTATGGGGATTCCCCCCAAAATTAAAAATAGAAATACCCTATGATCCAGCTATCCCACTACTGGGTATCTATCCAATGAACCTGAAATCAACAATCCAAAGAGGCTTATGCACCCTTTTGTTCATTGTAGCATTGTTCACTATAGCCAAGAAGTGGAAGCAACTCAAGTGTCTCTTGACTGATGATTGGATCAAGAAGTTGTGGTATATATATATATACACAATGGAATACTACACAGCCATAAAAAAGACAAAATCGTCCCATTTGCAACAACATGGATGGACCTGGAAGATATTATGTTAAGTGAAATAAGCCAGAAAGAAAGACAAACACCATATGATCTCACTCATATATTGAATATAAACCAACACATGCACAGAGAAAACTGTATTGTGGTTACCAGTGGCAATGGGAATGAGGGGTGAGCACAAGGAGTGAAGGGAGACATGTATATGGTGATTGACAAACAATAACGTACAACCAAAATTTCACAATGTTATAAACTATTAAGACACAAATAAAAAAAAAAACTAAGTAAATGATGGAAATTACATCAATAAGCAAAACGTTATCTGCAATATCCCTAAACTTTAACCACTTGAAGTACTGTGATGCTTGCCAGCATAAAAACAGGTTCTCTCATGCCTGGGAAAAGACTAATGCTCTGTAGACATTGTAACAAGTGGCCAACAAGCCATTTTTAGACTTCTTCGATCAATCAAGGAAAAGTTGTCTTAGAACAGGTTTTTGTAAGCCTGCAATCAGTGACATCTCCTTAAGTCTGCAAGTCGGCCAACCAGGAATAGACTCCCTGCATAACCATGCCTCTAATGACAATTGACCACTGTCTCACCTGAGTAACCCTCTTATATTGATGATTCAAGCCACTTAAATGCCTGAAAATCTACCAATCCCTGAACTCTGCATCTCCTAACAACCCACCACAAAAGGAGAAGAGTGCTCTGCTCGGTGATACTGTGCCTGATTGATGTCATTCTTCCTTCCTAGAGTTCCAATAAATTCAGCTTTGTCTTTTTATTTCAGATATTGAGTGCTGTCCTCATCATCCTTTGAGAGTTGCTATGAAAAATGCTATTTCCTAGGAGTATTTAATCCTGCATGTGATTGGGAAAACCTAGAAATGAAAAAGTAGTATTTTACAAACTATTTTCTATAAACTATAATGACTTGGTCTCAATTCCAATCTTGATGTTTTCAACGCCCTCTCTGCTTCCTTGGCTGATAACCTCACCCCTTTTTGGCAGTCATCAGAAGTAGGTTGAGCAGTTGAGTCACAGCTGAAAAATGTTATCATGGCTACAATCCTAATTCATTTCATAGACAAGCCAAGAGGATGAACCCTTCCATTGACCAATAAAAAAATTAGCCCTTGAAACAATACCAAGAGATAAAATATACAAAGCAATAAAAGTCTGTGATTTATCTTAACTGGATTTGGGGTCCGTGAGAAAGATAAAACTAGGTGGTTAACAAGAAGACGTCGAACATGTGTGCCAGTGTTCATATGTGATCTTTAAACCAGTCACCCTTCTTTCCTTCTTTCTACACCATGTCTCACTCTGGGTGGCAGATACCACCCCTAAGACAGTGTCATTCACTTCCATATGAACTCATGCTGCCTCATTCAACCTAGTTTGCTATAAAATGGAGAGAATTTTGACATCATTTTAGCTATCTGGCACGATAAGCAAGATGCTTTTTGAATATTTCCCTCCAAATATGTGTTAACCAAGCTATTTTCCCTGATCAAAATGAGCAGAGATCCTATAATTACTTGCTATTACATCCTTCTGGTTTATAGACAATAGTTTATGTTAAAACCAACTTTTTTAAAACAGTCTTTTTGTACTTTTGCTTTCATTTGTTTTATTGCTTTTTATTTTGTTATGTTTTGTGTTACAAATCTGCTTTGCTTCATATTTTTCCCTCCCTACTTATAAAATACTTTTGAACTTTATCCAGTAAAACATTTTCTTGTCAGTTTCCTCTTTATCAAATACTTCCCCATGGTTGACATACTGATAAATAGGTAAATTGAAAAAGACTTCAATGAAAAAAATAATGTAAGATGCAAAGATTGTTACCATATTAAATCAAAATAACTTTAGATCCATTCTTACCTATTGTGAAAATTTTTACGAGCAACCTCCAAGGATGAGACATGCGCAGCCCATAAGTACTTCAACAAGTCATCACAGTTACTAGAATTTGACTTTACATGCTATTGAAGAAGGAAAAGGTTATTAATATTTAGGCAATTATGACAATCTCTCCTCCTGAAAATCAATTTTATTTACAAATATAATTTTTCAACATTCTAAATGAGGGGAGAACATTTTTTCTAAGAGTTAAGGTATGAAAGATTTAATGCTTAACACTCCCTAAAGAGCTTAATACTAGTTATATTAATTACTATATATTAATTAGTTATATTAATACTGAATCCATTTGAAAAGAATAAACCATGTGTTTTTGAAATGTTCAGAATTTTATGCTATTAAGAACCAGACCTTTAATATTTCATTTTGTTTTTCTCTAGCCATGCAAGGAACTTTCCACAAAGTCTTCAGAGTCATAAATGGGGGGAAGGGGATGAATGAGAGTATTTTATCTAATCATATGCAATATAATGGGCAAGTTCTCTAAAGGGAACTTCTATCTTTGGTTCTTTACTCTTTCACCCATGATGCTCTACTTGGGACATAAATATTTGATTCTGATTGTCAAATGATCATTTCAGTCAACTCATAGATGATTGACTATCATATACGATTATTTGTAACTGTTTATTAAATAAGCTGATCAAATTCACCACACTTATTCCATAACTGTATTTCTATATAGGTTATTGCTTAGTTGACCTGAAATTATGATGAATTAGGACACTTCATGCACTATTAAGCCATAATTTCTCCAGGTTCAGATGTTCGTATATAATTTATTTGGTGTGAGAAGAGTGGATAGGGCAACCTCAATACTGTATTGGTAATAAGGGTACTAAGGAGATATGATGTCATGTGGTAATCTACTCATACTAATATTGTTGTCATCATAATAAACATTTTCATATTAGGAACTTTATTCCTTAGGAACATATTGTTCAATGTATTAAAAAATTCTACATTAAATATTATTGAAAAATTATCAGGCTACCCTCAAAGAGTATTAATTAGAACTCTGAAAAAAAAACCTGATAAAATTCATTCCACTTTTTCATCACTTCTGGAAAGGATGAATGACAGCTAGAAACATTATAACAAAAACTCATCTGATCCTTGGATGGTGGCAGAACAGTGACATTGTCTGATGATATCCCCATTATGCCAGAATCAACCGCGGCAAAGAAGGGCATTGCAGAGAGATAATAATTAATGTCTGTATAAACAAAAAGTCATTATTAATGTTATCATATAAAAGAGGTTGTTTCTGAAGTAAAGAAATCTACCAGAAAAGTAAAATCCACAGATCTAGAAACATGGTAAAACTTAAGCAGTAGTTCTGGGCACTTCAGAAACTTTATCAGAAATTTCCTTTAGTGTTATATGCAACTCGAACATACGTCTCTTAAAAACCTTACTCTCATAAAGCAGAATGAGTTCATCTTGTAGATTTATTATTTCAAATCCTAGATAATAATTACACCGGAATTTAAAACACTAATTAAATTCTAAAGCACAATAAGTGCAAAAGAAAAAATTGGTATCTTATCTATAAAATACTATTCTTTTATGAGTTTTTATTCTAAGTTTGAAAATCTGATTATCTTTAAAATGTTCTAAGAGAATAATATATTCTAATATTCTAATAAAATATCCTAGATTTTTTTCTTTTTGTTTGATAACATATCACAAACTCCTACTTCTGTCCTATGCATTTAAAGCAAGTTTTTAGGTTACTAGTCCTCTAACTGACATTTTCATAGTTGGATAAGGTAATTAGTAAATTTTAAAAATATCTATCTAAAAACCCATTTCAAAACATTTAGAAGACTTAGATCAAACAGATTCTTTTCATAAAAGTAGTAATTCTGGTTTTGTGTTTTTTTTTTCTCTAATTGGGATTATAGGTTGAATTGATTCTTTGTGGAAAGGTCATCTATTTGAGGTTTGACTGTTACATTACACTCACCGGCTGACCAACTGTCCACAGAGATGCACAGATGATCCCCAGATTCATGGCCGCAGTCTGTCATTTGGGTGGGATCAGCTAATCTGCCTAAAAGAGAGAGGATCCAGAATTGAGTTTACTCGGCCCATTTTTAAGCTATACATAAACTAGATACTTTATGTTTACAGGAATGCACAAAATTTTTATTCTCTGAAAGAATTGTGTTAGCCTTCTCAACACTGTCTTTCCTTCACTTTGTGACTCTGGATAAATAAATTCTGCAAGTCTCAGTCTTCTTTTATCTATTTATTTTTTTGTGAGGAAGATCAACCCTGAGCTAACATCCATGCTAATCCTCCTCTTTTTGCTGAGGAAGACCGGCTCTGAGCTAACATCCACTGCCAATGCTCCTCCTTTTTTTTCCCCAAAGCCCCAGTAGATAGTTGAATGTCATAGTTGCACATCCTTCTAGTTGCTGTATGTGGGATGCGGCCTCAGCATGGCCGGAGAAGCAGTGCGTCGGTGCGTGCCGGGATCCGAACCTGGGCCGCCAGTAGCGGAGCACGCGCACTTAACAACTAAGCCACGGGGCGGCCCCTGCAAGTCTCAGTCTTCTAATCTACATCCTCGGGAGACTAACAATGACCATCTCGTAGAGGTTTGGGGATGTTAAATGAAGAAGGACATACAAAGTGCTCAGCTCAATGAACATGTGCTCCATAAATATTAGCCATTATTTTATTTTTTCCCCTTTTCTTTCCTGTTCCTGACTCTATATTTACTATGTCCTTCTTACCAGTTCTGCCTGTCTGTTTCCCAGGAACCTATACTGTTTCTTGTTTATTTTCTCATTCTAGTGCTTCACTTGGCTCTTCATGACCTGCTTACCCCCAAGTGGGCAAGAGTAAAGATCTGGATAGTTCTGCGAGTGCATATAAATTTCTCAGAATTCCTATTCCTTTTTTAAACTGCAATAATATTCAAGTATGTAAAACATTCCTGGCCTGAATCTTAGGCTTTTTCTCATTTGGGAGTTGTTTTGACTCTAATTCCAAGACTCCTTTTAAATCCACTCACTCTCTGAGGACATTCACCCATGATGCTAACCTAAGGATTTCCTTATGTTGCTTACCTCCATATCTTCTACTCTGAAACCTCACTGTGCTCCAGTTCCATATTTGTCAAATCCTTCAGGAACTCCTTTCGTGGTGATTCCAAGTTATCGCCAACTGAACATGCCTGAGGCTGAGCTCTTGATCTTGACAGTCAAGGAAGACTGCTTCATGAACTTTCCATGTTTTTTTTTTGTTTTTTTTTTTTTGGCAGGGAAAGATTCACCCTGAGCTAACATCTGTTGCCAATCTTCCTCTTTTTATTTTTCCTCCCCAACGCCCCAGTGCATGGTTGTATATCCTAGTTGTAAGTCCTTCTAGTTCTTCTATGTGAGCTGCCACCACAGCACGACAACTGATAGACAGGTAGTGTGGTTCTGTGACTGGAAATGAACCCAGGCTATGGAAGCAGTGAAAGCACCAAACTTTAACCACTAGGCTATCAGGGCTGGCTCGTGAACTTTCCATTTCTTGTCAGAGGATTTTCACTACTCTTCTAGACATTTTTCAGCACTTCCCCCTTCTTTATAACCAAACTGCATTCTCCTGTTGTTTTACCCTCTGAAGAAATTTTTTCTTGCCTTCCCATGGCAAGAAATACATCATTCTCAATACCTTTGACCAAAATCTCTTTTTCGTCATACTCATTTTTTCAAGAATAAAATTAATGCTATATTTGTTACTATTCGAGCACAAATTTCTCCTGTGAACTTACCCTATTTTCCCATTATACTATTTCCCTAGAAAAAGTTACATATCTCCTGTACTTTCAACATTTCCCTCTCTTTTTCTCTTATATGTATCACATTAATTCCAAACTTTGTCCTTGAGCTTATTCTATTTCTTCATGGATTACTTTTTTTAAATCCATAAACATTCTATCCTTTTTCAAGATTCACTTCAAAACTTATTCTATTCCCACATTATTCCAGTTCATAACACTCTCACTTTTATCCAGTACCTTATGTTTTGGCCCTGTACTGTCTTCTGGTTGTATTATTTGTAGCTTTCTTTCCTAACCACGTTGGGAGTCCTTTGAGGGAAGGCATGAAATCTACTGTAAACATCTTTTACGCTTGCCTCAGCTACCCCTTTTCATCTCTTTTTCTGTTTGGTGCACTTATCCTGCTTCAGATTCCCAATATTCTCTTCCTAATTCCAACATTTTCCCAAGTAAAATTTCTGCTAAACAATAAAAATGAATGAATATTGACATATGCAACTAGATGGATGAATCTCAAAATAATCAAAACAACTGAAATAAGTCAGACCGACAAACAGTATACAACTGTTTATATGAAAATTCTAGACAATGCTGTCTAAACTGCAGTGATAGAAAGCAGATCAGTGGTTACTTGTAAAGTTGGGGAATGGGGTGGGGTGAGGAATTGAGGGACTTGGGGGGCAGGGAGGGAGTTGACTTAGAGGTGGGGAAGTTCCTGAAGATGAGAATACAAAGGGAAAAGAAAATTTTTAGAATGACACATATGGTCATTATCTGTGGTGATATGTTCAAGGCTTTACACATAAATCAAACTTATCAAATAATACATTTTTAAAGGTACAGTTTATTGTATGTTTATTATACACTAATAAAGCTATTTTAAAAATGCTTCTAAGCAAGTAAGAAACAAACATTTAAAGTGCTTAAGTCTTGTGGAAACATTAGGTCCTTGTTACTAAGCTAAACCATATTGCTTAAGAGCCCAATTAAAACTACTCAGTCTGACTTTAAAGACATGATATAAACTGGCCCTAACTGATCTCAAATTTACTACTCATTACTCTTTTTCACACTCTAATTCTCCTGTCAGTGTAGTAGTTTCGCTCCCAATATAGCCTGCTATTGTTGCCATCTTTGTAATTTGTATTCTAGCAATGCCTCCACCAAGGTTTTTGGTCTTACTTTCTCCTCATGATAATCTCAGCCCAGGGTTGTCACTCTCTTTCCTGAGCTGCTCTTGTTCTTATGGTCCTTATATTCTCTTTCAGACTTAGCATACTGTTGGTGAAAAAATTTTATGAGCTACGTTCATAACTTTTAATCCTATTTTGATTTTCTCTAGTTATATAACAGAATACAACTCGATTAAATTCTAAGTAAAATCAGCCACTTGAAAGAGAGAAGAATTCCATTTATTGTGTTTATAAATGAAAATGAAATTTTGAAAAGTATACAATCTAACATTCTATCTTTCCATTTTCTCATTACTGGACCCTGAGTAGAAAATTTTCCTAGGAACAGGTGTGTGTCCCCTTCAAGGGAGCTGTTTATTGTTTACAGTGAACCTTATGTTTGGGCTTCTTCTGAACCATGTCTCAAAAGTTCAGATATTCCTCTTCTCCAAGCCAAGGACAGATTAAGAATAAGAGTTACACTAGGTGTCAAGAGATCTTCCCCACCTGAGCTCAGGATGTCATCACAGATCAGACCTTGCAGAGTCTCCTCCCTTGTCTTTTCCACAGCACCACCTACTTTCTTATTGATTCTTTTCTTCTAATACTGTTTTCTGGAAGCTATTGGTGAAGGTCTCTTATTTCTTGAATGCCATTTTTAGCCAGAACAAGATAGGTTGGGATTTATGATATTTTTGTTCCAAAACAAATCTCTACTTTTATTCCTGAATGTAGATGCAATTTTCTGGGAGAGAACATATGAGAGAAAGGTTTTCCTACGGAGGATTTTTGATATTTATTGGACATTGCTGGGTAGAAAAACCATGCACACAAGGGGCATTCCATAAATGCTTAATAAAGACAGATTAGGGAAGAATGAGGAGAAAAATAGAAGAGGAAGAGTGAGAAAAGAATAGTTGGAAAAGGAGTAGGAAGGGGAAAGAGAGAAAAAATAATTTTCCAAAAAGTGGCAGTATATATACCAGCTACCACTTTCTAATTAATTTAGAGTTAAATCATACAATAATTGTAATGAAAAATAGCGTCATTCTTACCTGTATGATATTGCCATCCATGCTGTACAGCCAATCCCCATAAAATATTTTGTTCATTTTCTGGTGCATATTTTTCAAAATACTTGGCTGTCTTGTTCAATAGGATTTTATACGTCCCCAGTCTCTCAGGGTAATGCCAGACATTAATGATGTACTTTCCATTTTCTACATTGTAGTCACTGAACTGACCAGGACTCTCTTTCCACAGAGGGGGATATGCCTCTGAGATGCTGGATGTTCCTGCCAAAGAAGCAAAAATACAACCAAATATTACACAGGCCCAGGAAAGACTGAAAGCCATAGTACTTAGAGGTGGAGATTGAGGTTATCGTGGGACTTTTATTGGGAAGTGGCGGAGTAAGTCATATTATGTTTGCATACCACTTCCAATCAACGCTTTCAATTCTCTTTCCTGGCGATGATCGAGTGGAGATAAGTAAATGCTTTGCCAAAGATAATAGGATACCTCCCTTGTTAACCATCTCCCCAAAAACTAATGTTGATTATGTATCAGTCTCTAGAATTTTCAGCAAGACTTGGTTTCTTCCTAAATTTGTTTCTGTGTCTGTCTTCTCTCTGTTTGTCTCTCATGTTAACTATAATAATAAATTGGATGTCCTTCCCAGAGGTACTTGTATTTTAAAGGATGGCTATTGATCCAAATTAATCTCTAATTGGAGGGATTTCAGCAACACAAAATGGTAAAGAAAATAATTTTAGATAAAATTTGGAAGACATTTTAGTGATATTTTGGACTTTACCATGTCTCTTTTAAATCTCAGCCATGTGCAAGTCCAGACTATGGCAGAGCTGTTGACCCAGACTCCACACTAGCAGGATCTGAGCCAAAAGTTTACATGCAAGTAGTTTATTTGGGGATTACAGAGTGAAAGAAAAGGAGAGAAAAAAAGGAAAGTAGGGAAAGCTAAGACAAGAAGAGATAATTGACTTGCCTCCACTAAGGGTATGAGTGCTTATATTGTCTTGGGACTAATGAGGAACATTCTTATGAAAGAACCACTGGCCTTAAGGGATGGAAGTGAGAAGCATTTTCTCTCATCATCCACTGGTCAAAGGTGACTCAAAGGGTAGAAACTCTCCTGTGGTTCGGGTTTCACAGTCCTGTGTGCTAAGTGGGCTCCTGGAGGTGTCCCATGTAGCAGCAGCAATGTAGAAGCCCAGGGCAGTAGATAAGAGGTAAAAGGAATGACTGAAATTAAGCTGCAAGTTGCACCTGCATGAAGCAGGTCAAAGTCTGTGTGGAACTGATCATAGCAGCAGTGGCTGCAGTCAGAATTGAGGCCAAGAGGATTCAGGAGTGATGCACAGGAGACGGTCAATTCAGAACCCCTGCACTATGACCTGAACTCTGGGCCATAACTGGGAATATGCAGGCCATGGGTTCATGCAGGCTCAGCCCTTCCCTGTATGTACCTGCTGTGTGTTTATTTTAACCACAGTGAGCTACCAGAAAACTCTGTCAGAAAATCATTCCCAAGCCTCAGATCTAGTTTGACAGATATTCATTGAGCAGCGACCTTATTCCTGGTGCTGCATCAGCATTGGGCTGTCTTAGGGTACAAAGGAGAAAAGATGCCGGTCTCTGAGATGTTCAACAAAAGATTACTGTAAAAATTTAATCTCTAATGAAAGAAAGTAGTTTGATGTGTGATAGATGAAAGTTCCATTTAATTTGGCTTTTTTCCCAGCTTTATTGAAGTATAATTGACAAATAAAAATTGTATACATTTAAGATATATAAAGTAATGTTTTGGAATACATATACATTGTTAAATGATTACCACAATCAAGCTAATAACACATCCATCACCTCACATAGTTACCATTTTGTGTGTGTGTGTGTGGTAAGAGTATTTAAGATCTACTCTTTTAGCAGATTTCAAGTATAAAATACAGTATTATTAACTATAGTCGCTATGCTATACATTAGGTCTCCAGAACTTATTTATCTTATAAGCGAAAATTTGTACACTTTGACCAACATCTCCCCATTTCCCCACCTGCAGTCCCTGGCAACCACTATTGTACTCTCTGCTTATGTGAGTTTATGTGAGTTCAGCTTCTTTAGATTCCACATATAAGTGAGATCATACAGTATTTGTCTTTCCTGTGTCTGGCTTATTTCATTCAGCATAATGTTCTTCAGGTTCATCCATGTTGTTGCAAATGGAAGATTTCTTTTTTATGGCTAAATAATATTCCGTTGACTTCTTATAATTTGCATTTACATAGAGGAGAACTAAACACATATGCAATGCTAGAAGACTACAAAGGAGGAAGACATATCTTAATGTTGAAGAATCCTGTTAGTGGAGTAGGAAGGTTTATGTATAATTTATTAGTTCAGGAATTTTTTTACATTATAGTGCATTTACTATTATATCTTAATCTTTTACACAATATTGACATTACTAATCCTAAGAACTCAGGACGGCCTTTTAAACAACTTTTTACCTCATGAATCCAGATGTAATGGAAAGTTTAATTTTTTATTTCTTCTGGAAGAGGGGCATCGCTTCATTCTTTCCTTCATTCTTTGACTAACTATCCATTTAGTGAACACTAAATCACTAAGTGTGATATGTTATGGAGAATGAAAAAATTTAAAAGACTCCAGTCATCTTTATTCTCAGGGAAAAAAAATCTCAAGAAAATTATGAGGAAAGAGTTATAAAATTTCAGAAAAGGGATTGATATCTGTAGGTCTGAGATGGCAATGGGTTCATCAGACAAGGGGAGATTTTACAGAGGAGATGGTCTATGAGTTGGAACTCGTCTTTATTTACACACATAGCTTCCCTTTCCATATAACTTGTTTAACTCTGGATGGAGGTCTTCCAGAAGCAGTTGAAAATGGAATGCGGTAAGAGAAATGAAGTGATAAGTACAGTGTGAGGGAGAACTCAATTGTATGCACTCAGTTGAGTTGCAGGCATGAGTTGTAGCTTGCTAAGACACGAGTTCAAATGTCTGTTCTTCCATAAATCTTTCACAATTAGCATATTGCTATGCATGCAACAGGTCTTCTTTCAATGTATTTGGTTACATTTGACTTTAGCAAATGAGACTGTATTCTGGATATATTGTGAATAGGTCAGTGAAAGAAAAAAAAAAGAAATCAGTAACTCTTAATTTTCAGTTCCAAATTAATGGTTCTGTCCTGAATGGCTACATCTAAACTTTTTTTTATTGCCCTTCATGTTTATTAGTTATCCTTGCTATATACCAGTTTCATGCTCCTTAAAATGAAACTTGATGTCTGTGGTACTTGAGTTGGGTAAAGACAGTTGGGTCCAGGAAAGGTTGGCTACCAATTATTAACCACTTCTAATTTATGTAGAATTTAAATATAACCTGGCAGTGAAATCATCACCAACTAACTGCCCTGAGTAACTCGAGGTTTTGAAAGCACTTAACTGCTTCCCAAAGTTGTTTTTGAATTATGTTAAGAGACGCAATCACCAACCACCTTGAACTGGTCCAAACCCCACCGCAAGAGCAACACCTGCTCAGATGGGCCGAGGTTTGTCCAAAAATTACCTTTGCTTCGTTTTAATGTTAAGATCTCCACCGCAGGAGGAAGTTATACCTTATTAGCGTAACATGTGATGTACATGAAAGCATGTTTTCAAACAATGCCTGTGTGAGCTTAACCCACCTCTGCATGAGATGATGAAACTTCCCTTTTGAATGTTCATTTGCCCTCCAAAATAAAAGGCCCTTGTTTTCCCTTGCTCAGGGAGCCATGGCTTTGGAAGTGATTCCCCATGGTCTCCTTATTTGCTGCAAATAAACTGTACTTTGTGTGACAACTAATTCTAGCAAAGGCTTTGATTTCAACTCACCAAGAAGTGAACCCACTTGAGTTCGATAACACAATCAGATGAAAGTTTGTTTAATTGCCAATATTTTTTTCTTGGTTAACTATCAATAAGCATCTAATAAATATTTTTTCACTCATATTTTGTCAAATTCAATGTGTCTTCTTTCACTCAGTTTGTTGAAATGTCTTAAAATATACCTGAGAAAAAAATTGGTGCTTTATATAAAGGGATGATATGGTGATATAGAATTGTGCTGATGCTGAAACAGAAGTGGTCAAAGAATTATTTAAGGACATGATTATAATCTTCCAGGACATGAAGATTGTGTGCTACATCACAGATTGCAGGCGCGAAACTAGAATTCTTTCACTTTTGTTATAATATCTGCTGTAAAATTGGATAAATATAATATAAAAACTGTAACTAACCTGTTTCTTTTGGTGTAATCTTCCATCAAAGGCAATCTTGTGTGTGTGTGTGTGTTATCATTTTGATATGCTGTTCAGTTCATTTGCTTATGTTAAGATTCAATTTTTTGTTTTTAACTATATTCATTTAATTTTATTTTTAGTGTAAGTTGTTAACTTTTTAAAGGTCAAAACTATATGAAAAGATATACTCAAAGTTTTATTCCTTTCTCTATCCATGTTCAACACATGTTCACTCACACATGAGTGACCAATTAAATGGTTTCTGGTTTATCTATCCTGTTTTTGTGTGTGTGTGTGTGTGTGTGTGTGTGTAAAAATAAGTATATCTATATCTATCTGTCTATGTATCTATCTATCTACCTCTATATTTATGTATCTATCTCTTATTGTTCCCTTATTTTTTCTACAAAAGGTAGAATATTATCTTTACTCTTTGGCACCCTAATTTTTTCACTTAATTTTTTTTCTGGGAAATTATTACATATGCCCTCGTAGAGATATTCTTCATTTTAAAAAATGGTGCTTTTTTTGCTGACTACCTAGTACTTCTCTGTGTGGATGTTTAATAGTTTATTCAACCAATATCCTAAGTATGGCCATTTATATTTTTTCCAATATATTTCAAATACCAATAATATCACAGTGAATAACCTTGGGTATATATTATTTTCCATTTCATAGGAGGTGAATCTCTTAGGTAAATTCCCAGAAAAGGAATTCATTATTCAAAAGATTAGTCATAGGTACTTGTGATTCTGGAACAAAATGGCATAGACTCATATTTCCCTGCTTCTCCCATCTACATAGAACGAAATGCCCTAGAAATTATTCTACAGACCATGATAAAAGGATTCTGAAAGCTGTATAGAAGAATGTGGACTGGCTAGAGAGCTCAGGACTTTAGAAATGGCATTGTGATGAGTTCTCTGGGTTTTCATTCATCTTCTATATAATCCCGGACTGCGAGCCAGAGAGATCTGCAGCCTGGAACTGCCAACAGGAATATACAAGAACATCAAGAAAAG